TATATAAAATTTGACTTAGCAGTTTTCACTCTGCTTGTCTGAATCGTCTGCAAGAACTGGGAGCAAGATCTAAAAGGTCAGCCAATCTAAAAGTGATAACAACCCACAATCCTCACTTCTTGCTCCATATGCGGCCACTTTTGTAAATCACTAGCGGGTCTTAAGTGCCACTTAAGTTTATCGCACAAGATTTTATAACTGAATCAATTGGTTAAGTTATCAGATCCTCATACGTCGAAACCGAAGGGAACGTCCATTATATACATTATATATATATATACTATTTTCAGTATATATATATATATATATATATATATATATATATATATATATGTGTGTGTGTGTGTGTGTGTGTGTGTAAATATATAGAAAAATAGGAAAGAACCCGTTAGATTAATAATCCGAAGTTCTTTAGTATTTTTGTTTTTATTTTTAAAAAACAGTGCACCATACAGAAGTAGATGGTTATTCCTAAATTTTCGCTTGAGAATGAAACAGGGCTTGATACTTTAATTCAATTTAATTTTAATAATTATATTGATGGCTTCGGCTCTCGTTTTTGAAACATGAGAACTCTTATGTAGCGAATAAGTCATATTTTTTAAAATAATATATATATATATATATATATATATATATATATATATATATATATATATATAGGAATTAAGGGAAGGGGAAAAATTTAGATAAAAAAAAATTAGAATTATATAAAGAACCGCTAAATGAAACCATCTTTTGTCAAAGTTCTCTCTGTTTAGAGACAGAAGCTGTGTGTTGATACAAACAGCCTCCAGGACGTTTCGATGGTGCTTTGTCCGGGCTCTGTGCTCTGAATAGTTGTTCCTCCAAGCGTCACCAGTTAATAACTGGTCACCGATGACAGAGTCATCAGTTTTGCCACCGCCCTGATGCTGTAGGTGCGTGTCTATGATTTCGACCTGGCACATGCTGCGCCATTCTTACCTCTAACAGCTGGATAGTCTTGCCCACACTGTCAGCTTCACACCGACATATTTGCGTATCTGTGTGCATGGGAGTGGCATTGATTTTCCAAGCCTTGTACAATTTATCTCTTCCAACATATCTTCATTGGTGAATCACTCTGTTCTGAATGCTATCCGTGTTGACCGATAACTGAATCCATTGTGGAGCAACTATACAGACACTGGACTAGCCAAGAGACAACACAACTATTCCGGAACAAAAATGGTACCCCTGAAGGTTGTCACAGAGTTTTGCAATCGTGATTCTTCTTTCAGCTGTCTTGGTTCTCATTCACAACCGCAAATGGCTCGTCATTGTGGGGTCAGTTCATTCCTTATTTTTTTTATTTTTTTTACTAGGCTTGCCATTTTCACGGTCCATTCTACTCAGCTCACATCAATTGCAGCTTTTAAAAAATAGTCACTAAATTCCTCTGCATGTTTGAAGCCGATTCTTTTTTGAAAAACAGAAATACTCTGATCGATCATTGCAATTTTCGTTTGCCCAGAGTGGCAGCATTTTGAAAGAGTAGGATAAGAGGAATTGGTAAACTTCTGTGAGTGTGTGTGTGTGTGTTGATTTTCCAAGTCTTGTGCAATTTGTCTCTTCCAAAATATCGTCATTGTTGAACCACTCTCTTCTGAATGTTGTCAGTGTTGGACGATATGTGAATCCCTTGTGGAGCAATTATACAGACACTGGACGAGCCAAGAGACAACACAACTCTGTCAACTGTCTTGATTCTTATTCACAACTGAAAATGGCTAGTCATCGTGTGGCCAATTTATTTTTAATTTATTTTTTTACTAGGCTTGTCACTTTCACGGCCGATTCTACAGCTATTTGAAAGAAGCTTATGAGTAGAATAAGAGGAATTGGTAAACTTGTGTGAGTGTGTGGGAGTGTGTTGATTTTCCAAGCCTTGCTTAGATGTGGCACAAAACTGAAAGTATGGAGTACCCAATGAGGATCGAACATACTACTCAATATAATTGTTCTAGCGAGACAAGTTTATTAACCATTATACCACGTTGAGGTGTAAGTAGGTAGGTGTGTATGGTTGTGTATATGAGTGTGTATGTATGTGTGTGTATGTCATATATATGTACATCTGTACGCATATATAAAATATAAAAATGAAGATGCAAGCGACTTGAAATTGTTAAGTGGAAGTCGGTTGTTGCAATTGATGAAAGCAAACAGAAAAATATTTTTAAAAAAAAAATCATTATCTTTTTGTACAAAATGGACGGAGGTTCGCAGTGAATTTCAAGCACACGTCCATTTTCACCAGTTTCTGATTGTACCCTGGCCTTTTTTTTTTTTTTTGACGTGGGGGAGCGAAAACTATTTTTTTTTTTTTTTTGTTTTTTGAATTGACGGGTAGAGGTTAGTAGACGGGAAAGGGGAGTCAATGTAGAAACGTGCATTCGACTCCGATTTTTGCCCGGGCAATTGGTGAAATGACTAGAAATGATTCACTTTATCGCCTCCTGCTATTAAAGAGCTTGGGGACTGGGGAAGTGATGGGGACGAGAGGGAGGCATGCAGAACAGAAAGAAGAGAAAAAAGCCGTATTTATCTAAGGGAGAGAGACAGACAGACAGACAGACAAACACACCAGCAGACACACAGACAGATAGATACTAGAAAACGGTGTCGATAGGAAAAGCTTAAAGAGCAAGAGGACAATTATTTTTCTGTAACAACGTAGATGGTCATGGCTCTCCACATTTTTTTTCTCGTGTGGTTTAATATTTGACTTCTGATAGCGTTTTCCACGGTTTACAAGTCCGTGTGCTCTTTCACTCGGTTTATATACCAAATATACTTAGAGGTTCGTCCTGTCATTAACGCATACTGTAATAAAATCTCGTTTTATATTTTCTCAGCTGAATTTTGCAAGAACTAGATAGATAGATAGATAGATAGATAGATATATAGATAGATAGATAGATAGATAGATGAAGACACTGAAATAGTTATGAAGAGACTGAGATAGATAGATAGATAGATAGATACATACATACATACATACATAGAAACAAACAAAAAATTGAGATAGATAGATAGATAGATAGATAGATAGATAGATAATAAAAATGACTGATAGATAAATAGATAGATAGATAGATAGATAGATAGATAATAGAAATGATGATAGATAGATAGATAGATAGATAGGATGACAAACAGATTTATATATATATATATATATATATATATATATATATATATATATATTGAACAGATTCAGAGCAACAGATATGAAAAATGAGATCGATAACATACCTACATACAAACTAAAAGCCATAGTGAAATAATAAATTTAGATAGATAGATAGATATTAATAGATAGATAGATAGATAGGATGAGAAACAGATTAATATATATATATATATATATATATATATATATATATATATATATATATATATGAACAGATTGAGAGCGACAGATATGAAAAAAATCAGATCGATAACATACCTACCTACCTACATACATACATTCAGACATACAAACTAAAGCCATAGTGAAATAATAAATTGTGATAGATAGATAGATAGATAGATAGATAGATAGATAACAACTACTATTATTAAGTAAAGGATTGCCAGCCATTATAGTAGTATTAGTAGTAATATTATCTTCAAACTTGAAGCACGCTTTTTCTTTGACACCGCTATTATTTTAACTACCTTCACTGCTCGCCAGCGTTTATTCTTTTACAAAGCGATCATTAGAATTATAATAAAACCTGAAAATTAATTTGCCCCTTTTCTTTGTTCTTGAGAATTGACAATTTGAATTAGAACAGGTATTTTAAGTGTGTTTTAGTGAGAAAGGGAAAGCCCTTAATGCAATAACCGATAATCGAAAATGAATTCCTAATCCTTTTCTAATGGATAAGCAACCGAGACAAATATAAAGTCATACAGATAAACTCATTAAACATATATAAACATGTAATACTATATAGAGATTTACTCATGAAGATTTAGAATTTAGTAATAATGGGCACTTTAATTTCTGACATAAAGTATTTTCAAACATTATTAATTTTTAACTAGGATTTCTTTCATCTTCATTTCACTTGCTTTTCATCTAGTAGTATTAGTAGTAATATTATCTTGAATTTTTATTATTAGTTGAAGCATTGCCAAGCATTTTAATTTTTGACTAAGATTACTTTCATCTTAATTTCACTTGCTTTTCATCTAGTAGTATTAGTAGTAATATTATCTTGAATTTTTATTATTAGTTGAAACATAATTAATTTTTGCATTGCTTTTCAAGCATTTTAATTTTGACTAAGATTGACTTTTCTTTTATCTTAATTTCACTTGCTTTTCATCTAGTAGTATTAGTAGTAATATTATCTTGAATTTTTATTATTAGTTGAAGCATTGCCAAGCATTTTAATTTTTGACTAGATTTCTTTCATCTTAATTTTGATCTAGTAGTATTAGTTTCATCTTAAATTTTTATTATTAGTTGAAGCACTTAATTAATTTTTTGACTAGGATTTCATCTTGTAGTTATCTTGTAGTAATATTATCTTGAATTTTTATTATGTGACGAATCATTGCCAAGCATTATTCATTTTTAGGTAGGATTTCTTTCATCTTAATTTCACTTGTTTTTCTTTGTTATTAATTCATTGGAGAATTAAATGAAAAACATTAGGACAATATTTTGAATAAATCTGTGTCTTTTACAATTCATTTTGCTGGGTAGATATTTAAAAAAAAAAAGTAATTCCTTTTAAAATGATCTTTGAGATTTGTCTTCACTCATTTACCATTCTCCTTATTACAGGTTAATCTTCATTTTACCATTCTTTCCTTTCCTCTTTTACTTCAGTGTTTTTTTGGATAGTTAATCTCTTTAACCGTTCTTCTTAAATCTGCTCTTACCGTTTCTGGTTTTTTATTCCTAGCGAACAACTCCTAACCCGACGTTTTGCATAACCAAATCCTCCTTTCTCTCACGTTTAACCTAACACTAATCTATGTCCTTTCTCTCTCACTTCTTTTCTTTCTTTTTTTCTTTTTCCATCTCTTTCTCCCCGCTTCCCATAGTCAAACACAATCTTTTCTACTTCACTAGTTGCATTCCACTTCCTCTTCTCTCTTGTTTGTGTGTCATTATAATTTTATTCGCTAAAAGCATTAGCTTGTCCGGTCGGCCATCGAATCTTGGAATTACGTGCCACCAAGTGTTTGCCTGTGATTCCAGCGCTATTTACCTGCCCCAGTCCCAACAAATCCTTCTTCCCAACATTCGTTTACGATCTCTATTTTCACTTTCACTTTCACTTTCACTTTCGCCGCGTCAAATGCGTTGGCCGGCCGTCGCTTCACTCTTTTACATTGGATCATCCACTGGATTAAGACGATAGATTTGAGCCAGGCTTCGCGGACACATCTAGACCCATTGACGCCTGGGCCAATTGACAATGAGTGTAACTGAGACGGACCCTCTAGAAATGTGCCAAGTTTTGGCATTCTCTTTCCATTTTCTCATCTTCAGGATATTGTTCCCTTTTCTGGTTGCTTTAGCATCGAATTTTTTAAGGAATCGTATCCGCTCTTCTCTTGCGCTAATTTAAGCCTCTCTTCTAAGACTTCAACACCATTTTTCTTTCATTCTAAAATCTATGCCTTGTTTTTCTTTCTACGCTTTAGTTTCGTATCGAAATCGGTGGTTTCTAACTCAGGTCATTGTATACAATTCCAAGCTTTCTATCCCTAAGACTTCATAATTCTGTTTTATCTTTTCTTGCATCTTATTATCTTTCCAACTGTAGACTAAGTAACAGAAAAGGAAAAATAATCTGGAAATTTTCATTTATAGTATTCATATCGATCTACTACAGTTTCCTTCTCTCACTTATCTTTCAATACACACACACACACACACACACACACATATATATATATATATATATATATATATATATATATATATATATATAATATAAGGCTTAAACACTGATATTCCATGGTTATAATTTATTGCATTGGAATCGTAATTACGATCCAATTCATTAGACTTGAATTTGTAGGTCTGATGAAATAGATCGTAATTACGATTCAAATGTAATAAATTATAATTCAAGAGGATAGAATCCAGGTAGAACTCAATGTCCAGGACAGAGTAAGAATATAATAAAAAGGCTTAAACATTAATATTCCATGGTCATAATTTATTCCATTGGAATCGTAAATACGATCCAATTCATCAGACCTACAAATTCAAAAAGAAAACAGAAAAAACAACTCCGGAAATAAAAATAAAATTTAGAGAGAGTGTAAGTATGAGAGTGTGGGACGAATGTTAGAGCTAAAGACAGACGAGAGAAGGTGGGAGATTAAACCTTAAAAGAGAGAAGTTTTAGAGAGGTGAGTGGAAGAGGTTTAAGTGAGAGAAATATGAATGTTGTCGGATGTCTAATACATTAAAGATGTAACCGTAAAGGATATATATATATATATATATATATATATATATATATATATATATATATATATATATGTTCGTGTGCGCATTTGTGTGCGCGTGAAGGCTGGCGAGTGTCTGTGTAGATTTGTCTTCATGTGCGTGAGCTTGTCTGCGCGGATATGCGTACGTGTAGTGTGTCGTGAACATTTGTCCTTTTCTCTTTTTTTTTCATCACTTTACATTCCATAGTTTTTTTCTCTTTATTTTCCTTTTCCTCCCTCTTTTCTTTTCAATTGTAGTCAATTTGTGGCCAACTATTTCCGGTATGTTCTCTAGACTTGCCACCGTTTTAATTTTTTTATTTTTGTGTGTTCTAGGAAATTTGTATTTCTTTTTTTTATATATAAATAATTACTTAAATGATAAAATGAACACCCTGAAGAAAAGAAATCTTGCCAAGAAACTTCGAAGTTGAGTCAAAATTGATATTAAAAATAATGTTTTATATCATGCACGCGCATACACACACACACACAGACATATATATATATATATATATATATATATATATATATATATATATATCTTCGCTAGGTTATTATTTCGTTTGTTTATAACTTAATTATTTATTTTGATATGGTTGTATTGTTTGTTTTATTTTTTTCTTTCGAAGGACACGTGGTTATAATATCTTTCTTTAAAAGATTTTCTGTGGATCCTATGTATTTTTTTCGTCTGTGTTAATCTTAATAGTCATGATAGTTTTGTATATTATGTTATTGGTTAAATATTTATTGTTAAGTGGGCAATGATTTGTTTCTGGTGCTATTTTGCTGAGTTTTATTATTACTGTTGGCGCAATTGTCATTGGTTTTGTTGTGTATTTTTTTTTATTGTGCTTAGTTATTTTTTCGATGCAGCCGTAACTAATTTTGATTATATTTTTATTGAAAACTTTTCCGTATTGTTTGTGTTCGTGTGCGCGTTTGCGCGCGTGCGGGCATGCGACCGTCTGGGTGGATGTGTGTTCACGCGAGTGAGCTCGTCTGCGCGGATATGCGTACATGTAGGGTGTCGTTAGGGGAGTGTTTTTCAATTATTTTGAAGAATCTTTTCCCTATTTTTGCTTTTATTTTATTGTTGTAGTGGTTTGAACCAAATAATGGTTCGTTTTCTCTTGGTTTTGTTTAAATATTTTCTTTTTGGGTTCTAGTTTATTTTAATATACGCTGTTTCTAAATGCTGATTCATATATTTTTGTTTTGTTTCCATTGAATATTTTTAAGCTACTGGAATTTGTTGTATTTCTTTTCCTTACTGATATAGGCATTTGTTTGAATACGTTAGGAGGTGGTTGGAATTTTTGTTCATGTATATTGTGTCGTAATTTGCTTTTCTGTATGTCTTGTATGTTCCGTTGTTTGGGTTGACAGTTATGTCTAAAAAATTTACTTTTTTATTGGAGTTTATATCTATTGTAAATCCTGGGGTTTTGAAGATATTTATTTCTTCTTTCCTTACTTTATCTGGTGTTGCAATTTCTTAGAATTAATAGACCGTCATTTCTATATAGACCGATATAGTTTTTGCTAATATATATATATATAATCTGCGCATATATCTCACAGTCATTTCATTTCCTTTTCTATTCCTGTTCATAACTTTCTAGCTCTGTATCGATCTCAGCCTGATCAAATCTATCTATCTATCTATCTATCTATCTATCTATCTATCTATCTATCTATCTCTATCTATCTATGAGTTGATATCTATCCAACTGTTTATTTATCTATCTGCCCCTCTTAGTTCATATCTATCTATCTATGTCAGTCTAGTCAATATATATATATATATATATATATATATATATTATTAGTTCATATCTATCTACCTATCTATCTATTAGTTCATATCTATCTGTTTACTCAACTATATCTATCTATCTATCTATCTCATTCTAGTCAACTATATCTATCTATCTATCTATCTATCTATCTATCTTCTGTCTATCTATCTATCCCTATTAGTTCATATATATCTATCTGTCCCTATTTGTTTATCTATCTATCTATCTATCTATCTATCTATCTATCTATCTATCTATCTACCCCTATTATCTCATATCTAACTCTCTCTGTCTCTCTCTGTAATAGTTTATATCTATCTATCTGCCCCTATCATTTCATATATATATATCTATGTCCCTATTACTATCTATCTATCTATCCCTATCATTTCATATATATCTATGTCCCTATTACTATCTATCTACCTATCCCTATCATTTCATATGTATCTATATGTCCCTATTACTATCTATCTATCTATCTATCTATCTATCTATCTATCTATCCGAGTCTGTTTTATTTTCGCTTCTATTCTTCATACCCATTCTCATTCTTTCTCTCTATTCCCCATATCTTCGGACGAAAATCTTAACGCGTGTTATCCGAAGTTTTGAGTCGATAGTTGACATTGTTATTATTATTATAACTATTATTCCAGGTATCATTCGCACTTGTGGCTTCCTGAATACCTTAGATGTTATCTTTGCATTATTCTACACATCCTTCACACGCACACTTTCCTAAATATTACTTGAATCCATGAAATCTTCGAGTCGTCCTTTGTCCCTGTCATTTTTGTTAATATTTTAGGTTAAGGCAAACAATTTCAATAGGCTTCGAAATTATATAGTTTCTGGGGTTTTTTTTTGTTTTCAAAATGACTGTAAAAATTCATTCCTTTTCTTTCGTCAATATTTTACAAATGGAATCTCTTGTTCAATTTTTCGAGAGATAATTACCTGATCCTCTTTCCGATAAAGTTCAACGAATAGGAAAAACAGACAAAGCGCTTCGCTTCTTCGCGAGAAACGCTAATTGTCGCGTAAGTCGGCACCCTCAGCAAGTTCTTGGTAAAAGCATATAGGTAGATTATTATCCTGTAGTTTAGCTGCAGCTTAACTACTGCTATAATCCTATCTCATCCTCCCCTTAGAAATAGGATGGATGATTTTGAAGTATGTTTTGGAGGAATAAAAAAAATGCGTATTATATCGCAGTAAAATAGCACACCTAAGATAATTGCTCATAATAAAACTCGGTGGAGTAATGGTTAGCGGCTCGGATTGGGGAATCGGAGAGTCGAGTTCGAATTCCAGTCGAATCCATTACATTCACTTACGTGCTATATAACATTGGCAAAAGGTATGAATACTCTATTTCTCCCCCTCCTTTCAGCTATGGGTAAATGGCAGACTTGGATGGTAACCTTAGAAAGAAATGGCAACCTACTGCTGGAAAAAATCTGCTTCGTCAATCATGTATCGAAAGATACATGATCGCCTAAGCGTGAATTACGCATGGCACTTAACTGACTGATATTCACTTACGTGCTAAAACTCTTGTGAAAGTTATGAATTCTCTTCCATGGTAAATAGCAGGATAATCCGGGTCCTGTAGACTTGGATGGCAACTGGTCTACCGCAGAAAGAAATGGCAACAATGCGGGAAATATCTGCCTCGTCATGTATCGAAAGATAAGATCACCTTAGAGTGTTTCACGCATTGGCATAACAATGCGATATTCAAACGTGCTAATACCTGGGAAAGGTTTGAATTCTCTTCTATTATAAATAAAGGCCGGGTTATAATGGCATCACCTTAAGATATGTGTTTCAAAATTTTTGCATTTCATATCACGCATTTCATATCACTGACTGATATTCACTTACGTACTATTACCCTTGGGAAAGGTATGAATTATCTTATATGATAAATAGAAGGATAGTCCGGGTTTTGTAGCCTTGGATGGCAACTGGTCTACCGTAGAAAGAAATGGCAACAATGCAGGAAATATCTGCCTCGTCAGTCATGTATCGAAAGCTACGATCATCTTAGCGTGTATCACACATGGCACATAACTGACTGAAGGTTTAAATAGTTTAGCCATAGGCACACGAACAAATTTCTACATACAGAGAAAATACTACCATAATGTTATCGCTGTAAAGACTACGCACGAATGAAGGATGCTGGGAATTTTTTCACTTTTTTGAGTAGTGTCTACAAATATTGCTTTTTTATATTATATACATAATATATACACATGTGTACGTGTTTTGTAATTAGGACATATAAACCCGATAACGTTTTTAAACTTTTGACAATTGGAAAACGTTCATGAAAGTAGATTTGTTTCGAAATATATCCCATAATGCATTTCGCCATTTAAAGTCCGAAAGCGAAAAAAGGAAATACGTGTTTGTGTATTTGTTTGTATGGGTGACTTTCAAAAAAAAATGATTTACTTTCAGTTCGAGACGATAAATAACCCTTCAGAATGTGCAGAAAGGAAAAGATTTGTTTCTTTTTTTATCCATACGTTTTTCTTGTCGACATTTTAAATTAGGACATATAATCCCGACAAGGAGACACGTTGGCGTAATAGATAACGGCTCGGATTGAAGAATCGGAGAGTCGAGTTCGAATTCCAATCGAATCCAGTCGAAGGAAAGGTATGAATCCTCTGCTCTCAGCTATGGCTAAAGAGCAGGACAGACCGAGTTCTATAGCCTTGGATGGCGACTGGTCTACCGCAGAAAGGAATGGCAGCCTACTTCGGGAAAAAAATCTGCCTCGTCAGTCATGTATCGAAAGGTACATGATCGCCTAAGCGTGTATCACGCATGGCACATAACTGACTGAAGGTTTAAATAGTTTAGCCATAGGCACACGAACACATTTATACCTACAGAGAAAATACTATCGTAATGTTATCGCTGTAAAGACTAATGCGTAAAGGAGGCTAAATATTTAAAAAAAAAAAATACTGGACTTTGGTAATTAATATGGAAACAACATCCGACAGCAAGGAGATGTTGAGGAGATTGTTAATTACTGTTGTTTACATATTTACAACTCGGCATTCTAACCCCGGGTGGGAGCACCTGTTAGAACCTAGGCATATAAGTAAATAAACAACCTATGTAGATAAATAATGGTCCCCCAAACAAACATCAAAACACAAAGAAAATATAAAAATGCATTTTATAGTATAAATACCAGCAATACATTTTCAGAATAAGATTACTAACAATACATTTTATAAAATAAATTAACAAATATATATTTTATTAAAATATCAACACTACATTTTATAATAAAATTAGCTACAATATATTTTAGTAAAATTACCAACAAAACATTTTCATAATAAAATTATCAGCAATATATTTTTATAGTAAAATTAGTAACAATATATCTTTATAAAAAATACCAACAAAACATTTTTATAGTAAGATTACCAACAATTCATATTATTGCTAAATAACAAGCTTATATTTTTACAGCAAACTGACAATATATTTTGATAGAAAATGAACAAAAAATATAATAAAATCGAATAATTTGCTATGATTAATCTCATTTCTTGCAAGGAGAAACAAGGTTTCATTCCTCGTTGATTTTGCAAACTTATTTGGCAAAAAAAATAATTTAATCATGAAATAATGTCATTGTCTTGAATTAATTATTAAGTTTTGATTTCGGCATTAAATGACCCATGGAGGTGCTGATATGCCGCTAAACAAAAAGCAACCAAACCAATTAATATCGACGAGTGACTGGGTGTGTATTCGGGAGTTCTGCGAACGTGGATTCCTTCTCTCTAGGATTTCTTTTCCTTTCTCAGATGAATCGCTTATACATCTTTCTGTCTCCCGGTTCTTTCAAATGCACATATCTTAAGCACAGATGGGTCGTCCACCTGTCTGCATGTTGGGGGGCAGTCTACCGGTTTGCACTGTTTCGCCTGAACCGATTCTTAAAACAATAAAAGCTTAGCGAAACGCTTTTTGGATTATCCGAAAATAATCTTATATATTAATAGCCGATGCTCTAGGTAAAATGTTAGTTACGCAACGTCGTGCGCGTGCCTAGTGAAATCCAACCAGATACACGCCCTCTATCACAACAACAAATAGAAACCAACGTGGGAGAAAAAGAAAGTAAAAGTAAAAACAAAAAATGATAGCTGTGTATAGAAAATAGGACAAAGAAAGAGATCTTTGGGACGGCAGTGATTCAGTTCGAATATGGCTAAGACATCATAACACAGCAGAGGAGACTAGAATAAAAAAAAAGAATCATATTTCTGAACCTAAATATGACGAGAACAGAATTTCAATCTTGATAAATAAATTAAATGATCAAAATGGCTTAATTCTTTTTGGTACTATAAAGTAATGTATCGAAATATACATGATCGTCTAAGCGTGTATCACACATTGCATATAACTGACTAATATTCACTTACGTGCTAATACCCTTAGGAAAGGTATCAGTTCTCTTCTCTGATAAATAGCAGGATAGACCGGGTTCTATAGCCTTGGATGGCAACTGTTTCCATTCTCAGATTGAAAAGAGAATAAGCAGAAGAGGTTCATAAGGATTACCTACCTTTATGGAACCGCTTCCTGGAAATTTCGGGTGCCGTTATTAAGGGCAGCCTATGAAATCCCGTGAGGCGCGAATCTGCACCTGATGGCTATGAGGGTACCTTCCTGATTTCTCTTAATCTTTAATGCAACACTGACTGAAAAGCTTATTTTGGTCAGATCCGTGCCTATTGTTTAGAACAAAATTTATTAACATTAAATTCGATTCAGTGGGAATTATCTTCTATATATATAGCCTCTGAATCATGAAGACAGGAGAGATCAGCTCAAGCCAAAGAGCAATGATTCATTTACCGGTTTTCTTTCTTAATCAAGTGAATTTGACCCATAGCGGGAAACAGACAATTGAAAAATATAATAATTAATTATGATAAATAATAAATATTAATTAAAAATAAATAATAAATCATAATATTTATTATGATTTATTATTTATACGAATAACCTATTTTGCCCGTCAAGCGTAAAATAAACACCGTGGCTATTTTGCCGATCCCGGTAAATAGTATTTTGCCGGTAAAATATAGTGTTTTAGAACTAACTAGCAGTAGAGCCCGGCGTTGCCCGGGGATGTAACAGTAAGAGATAGATCAAGTATCGACCATCATAAAGACTGAAAAATAAAATTGACAAAGATTATTGTTTAAGGTTGACGGACACGCATGTCTTAATAAGTTTTTTATTTTTTATTTTTTTTACGAATTGGTCAAAACCAAACTCAAACAAAAACATTGTTTTCAATCGTTATGAGTCTACCAATTGAAAAGAATTTTATTATAAACAATTATCTTGTAAATGGAATTTTTAAAGCATTCTGAATGTAAAAATAAAGAAAAAAGTGTGCAAGACAATAAGAAACACTACCTGCCAAAACAAAAGTGAAGTTTTGTTGAAAT